TCTTTCAGTTTTTGAGATCTTTTATCTGCTAAAGAGCAAGTGATAAAATGTAAAATGAATATTCCTAAAACGGTGAAGGTAGCATCGAATGAAGATAAGTCACAGAACATGTTAAGATGCTTTTTGCACAAGAAGGATGCTAAGTGCGTCCATGGAAAATGATGATACCCATATTAGTGGCGAACTTTTAGAAAGAGGTTGACTTGCGTTGATAAAATTGAGAAGAATTTGAGCCTTTGTGGTTAGTGGTTATGGCCTTTGATCTTGATTCCAAATAAGTATGTGATAAAGCGGCATTTGAGCTGGACTTGTAAAGGGAAAAAAATCGCCTGTCTGCAGGTGATGGTGATACCTTTCTTTTAACTTCTTTAGTTTTTGGCCAAGAGAAATATGGGCTATTCTGGGTGGTGATTTTGGTTTAGCTTGCTTCTCAAGTCCTTGGAACAAGACAAAAGCTTAGCAAGATAAGTTTGCAGCTGGCGTTGAATAGAGTATATTTGTTAGGTCCATAATGTCCTGACATGCTTCTCATGCAACTATTTCATTTAACTATTCAAGTGTTGGATAAGCGAGGAAGACAGATGGGTTTCCATCTTTGTAAAAATCCTCATATCTGCTGTTCACTTTTGGGCTTGCAATGGATATTTGTCACATGGAAATTGGGTTGTATTGATATGAATGACTGAGTAAAGATGGGATGAAGGTTTGATATTGGTGAAGGGGAAGGACTTTCTGAAGGTGGTGATGGGGATTTGGATAATGGATAGATGGAAGCAGCTGGGAACCTCATGGAGCCATTCTGTGCTACTTGTATCTCTCTCTTGTTTCCATCTTCTTTCTTTCTTCCTCCTCTTTTATCTCGCCTTTATTTATGGGGAAGTTTGTGCATTATCTATGTCATCTCTGTATTTCATCTATTCCTCGAGAAAAGGGTTAAGTTTATCTATTCACATGTTTAGTTTTGTCAGCTGCAGAATCTTGCATGTAGTTTTATGCAACTTTTTAAAAACCAACCCTGGCATCGACTCCTAGAGCAATATATGAGCCCATCAAGAAAGTTGAAATCTTTTGTCAAAAAAAAAAAAAAAAAAGCGCTTATTAACTGGAAAAGCCAGACACGGATTTCTAGTTCACAGTTGAATCGGCTGGTTTAATGGTTTATTCATCGGTTTTTCTTTTTCTAGTTAATATACCGTAATCGGATCAGATTTGAGGCTTGTTCCCGATTGAACCGGCTGGTCAGGTTTTCATAACATTGATTTTATACTTCTCTTGGCTGCATTGGTTGATTTTGAAAGTGAGCCTTGGTTCTAATTCCAACCCTCTAAACAACTGCATATATATCTTGTGTGATGTGAGTTGTCTTGTGGTGTTTTTGATAAGCTAATAAGACTTTCTACAAAATGATGCACCACTCAGAAGGGGGGAGGGGGAGATGTGATGAGTGTACAAACGGCTATTGTGGATGCGATCCTAATAGAACGATTTACAAGCAGGAGAGGTAGAGGGCCTATCCTGGTTGTGAAGGATATGATTGTGTTGGATGTTTCAATGGACATAGGGATGGATCGAATGGAGTTTTGAAAAAGGGATCATGTAGCGGACTCAAATTTAATGGGAATAAGCCTAAGTTTTTGTTTGTATATTTGTAAAAGACTGAAGTGCACAGACTACTGTGCATGTATCCGTCTTGCTATACAGTTTCACGTCTTATCCAATCACCATGAAAAGTAAAAGAAGATTTGGATAAGTGTCTTGAATCCTAAAATACTGAGTATTAAAGAATGGAGCAGACCTTTTGGCTGCTCTGCTCATATATAGGTCAACTCCAAAAACCTTCTTTTGGCTGCATTGTTTCCTTCAATATTTTTTTAAAGATATATTGTAGTTGATTGCTATCAATTCATGTTTTCGAAAATTTCTGATTTCAGGAATACTTTTCAAATCCCAGCTCTCTTGTTCCTCTTCCTACGAAGTGGCACAAGTTTACTACGAGTTTGATGGTACAAGTTTTTTGCCTCAAGAAGTTTTTAATCCAGACATCTTTCGACGGTTGATGTTAAAAGATAATAGTAAGTCATTCTTAATTTTAATTTGGATAATTAGGTTGTATTGAACACCTTTGAGGCCCAACCTCTAAGCGATGAAGATGGAAATGCTATTAACCTTGAGGACGAGGCATCAAACTTCAGCATAAAATATCTGACAAGCAGTAAACTTATGGGTCTTGAGGTAAGGACATTGCAGGATTTACAAATTCTTCTAATAACGCAAATCGTTTAAAGTACTTCCTCTTATTTCTGATTATTTTATGGTTTCCGTTTCAACTTTCTCTCAGTTAAAAGATCCAAGTTTTAGACGCCATATTCTGGTTCAATGCCTTATTTTGTTTGATTATTTGAAGGTAATGTCTGACAAGCAGTAAACTTATGGGTCTTGAGGTAAGGACATTGCAGGATTTACAAATTCTTCTAATAACGCAAATCGTTTAAAGCACTTCCTCTTATTTCTGATTATTTTATGGTTTCCGTTTCAACTTTCTCTCAGTTAAAAGATCCAAGTTTTAGACGCCATATTCTGGTTCAATGCCTTATTTTGTTTGATTATTTGAAGGTAATACATTTTTCCTTTTTGTATCTGTTACTTTGTGTGATTTTATGGCCATAATGTCACTGTGTACTTGTTACTTGCATTAATGAGCTGAAGGTTTTATAAGATTTATCAATCAGGCTCAGGTACTTTTTGTGATTCATGATTAATAAGGTGTCTTTTTACTGTCATTAAATTGAATTCATAGCTGAAGTTTATTGGAAATTCTCTTGCCCATCAGTAACTTGAAAATTAGGGTAGGGTATGGTTTCCAGATCATTTGGACATATTTCAAACTAGAAAATGGAAAAGAGCATCTGAATGAAAATGCTTCTTTCTTGGCACCGTTCGAGGATTTTGCCCACTTGTGTTGGTAAAGCCCTTATTCTGTAAGCGGATGAATTGCGGTTTGATCTCTGTCCAAATTCAAATGTGTTCATGGATAGGCCAACTTGTGCTTAAAATTTTGCCGTCAACTTTGTGCTTTTAAACCTGTTGTCATCCGATGATCAGGAAACTTTTCGGGATCATATGCTGAATTATATTCTGCAGTCCTCCTTCCTAAAATTAGAATCTACCTCTTTATTATGATTCCAGCCCTGTACTTCATTTAGTTCCCACTACATCTCGCGTTTCCATTTCCCAGCGTTCATAAAAAGATAGTCAAGAAAGAGTTTTGACTTGACCAATTGTCTATGCGTAGGTTTTCTTTAGAGCTTTTTCTGGATGCATGAGATGCATGTATTCTAGGAGAGAACTTTACTTTTACGAAGTTTTTCTGTAATTTTGGAAGGTCATTTGGCTTTCAAATTTAACAATTATTCTTAACTTTCTTGTGGCATTCTAATTTTTATCTGATGATTGACTGCAATCTTTCTTCTTGTAGGCCCCAGGGAAGAATGAAAAAGACGTGCCATCAGATACACTGGTCTGTCTTATATTTGAATGTAGATGACATATATTTTTTATGCTATTTTTGGTGAGGATGATGGATGGATAACGTCATAATTTAGTAAAAAGCCCAAGTTTTCCGTTTAAATTTCACTACCTTTTGAAATAGCATGCAAGACAAGGATGACAATTTTTGCCCAGGCTCTGACATTTATTTACGGTTAAAAGGTTATGTTGGTTGAAGAGAAAATGATGAACCTCATCACACACTCTCAATACTGATTTAGTCGCAAGGCTTAATGTTTTTGATGATAAAAGACAATGTAAAGATGCTATAAGCTGTTGGAAGTTGGGAGAAGTTGGGATATGAATTCCTGTATAATTTTGGGATTTTGGTCCACTTCAATTGGTCTACTAATTATGATTAAACATGAATGTGATATGGAGACAAAGTATGGTCCTTTTGACCTACCATGACAACTTTGAGCCCTTGTGCATATTGAGGGTATGGACATTCTAGCATTAGAGGATGTTAGTTTGATTCTCATTTGCTCTTTGTGTATGGGAAGTAGTACTTCCCCTCTTATTCATTCCTTCATATGTTGCAACTTTTTTTTGGGAGGTCAGGTTTATGCTCCATTTTTTTTCTCGTGAGTTCATTTTAATATACATGGTTTAGGGGCCCAAACCCCATTAGTCTTTTGTGGTGGAGCCTAAAAACTCACTGAGATTGTGTTGCTATTATGCTAAAAAAAGATATAAATATGGAGACAAAGTAGCACATTCTTTTATGATTGTTTTAGAATATTATTTGGGCTTTTTTCCTTGGAATTGAGAATAATTGCTTATTGTTTATGAATCTAGAAGGAAGAAATAAAATCCTGTGAAGATCGCGTCAAGAAGCTTCTGGAAATGACACCTCCTAGAGGGAAAGAATTTCTTCTTAGCATTGAACATATTTTAGAGCGAGAACGGAACTGGGTGAGTTTCCTCGTTCCTCTCTCTCTCTCTCTCTCACAGACACACACGTGTATGAGTGTGTGTAATTGTTTGCATGTGTTCTTTCTAGTCAAGTCTTTACGAGAATAGTTTTTCGGCTTGTTCTGTGTTGATAATGGAGTTCTCTCTTTTCAAGGTCTGGTGGAAGCGGGATGGTTGCCCTCCATTTGAAAAACAGCCAATACAAAAGAAGTTAGTCCAAGATGGGGCCAGAAAACGGTATGCAAGTTAGTAGGCTGCTTATCTTTCCAAGGATACCCCAAGTTCCTCTCTCTCTCTCTCTCACAGACACACACGTGTATGAGTGTGTGTAATTGTTTGCATGTGTTCTTTCTAGTCAAGTCTTTACGAGAATAGTTTTTCGGCTTGTTCTGTGTTGATAATGGAGTTCTCTCTTTTCAAGGTCTGGTGGAAGCGGGATGGTTGCCCTCCATTTGAAAAACAGCCAATACAAAAGAAGTTAGTCCAAGATGGGGCCAGAAAACGGTATGCAAGTTAGTAGGCTGCTTATCTTTCCAAGGATACCCCAAGTTATTTAGATATATAAAGTTCACAAAGGCCAGCTATTTAATCTGAAATTTGTATTTTCATTATCAAGTATCAACTGACCTTATTAGGTTGCCCCAAGTATATTTTCATAACTGAACTTCCATGTTCATGCTTTGGCACCATAAGAAGATTAAGTTTCAAGGAAATGATGAATAAGATAATTTGGTAAATATTATCTTTGCTTATAAATAATGCTAAAAGAAATTATTTCTACTTTTTAACTTGTAAGAAGTTCTTAGTTTTTTCTTTCATAATCATTGACAATGTTTTTTGATTGTTATTTTCTGTGGGAATGGAAATTTCTGTGAGTTGCTACATGAGGATTTTAGCTTGGCACCAGAAGTATCTGGACTGTTTTTACCCTTATGAAATATTTATGTCAACAAAAAATGATTTTATGTATTATTTTAATATTGGCTTCTTACATGCACTTTGCTTATTTTAAGTTTGAAGCAAAGTGGAAATATTTTCCCTTCTGAGTTTTTTGAAAGAACCTTGCACAATGTGTTTTGAAACCCACAATGCATTTTTGTTTGGCATTTCATTTGACAATGTTTCTGTTTCCTGAATTGTGCATTTTGTCGTTTTCCTAAAAAAATCATGATAAACTGGAGCTCATCTGGTCCTGTTTACAAGCAATCTTAATTAACCTTACAACATACTTAGCAATCTGTTTCCAGATTTTTATAACTCGTGAAAAATGTGTTCATTATTTTTACTCTTCTTTGACATGTATGTCTGTTGGTTCACATTGTTGATTCCAGAATAGTTTCCCCTATTTGTCAAGTGACTTCTTGCATCTTCGAAACTATTGTTTTTTATTCAAACCCTACATGGGAAATAATATGGAAAGCCCTGATCTGTAATGAGTTCGTGGGAGGTAATAATATGAGGGCTTAGAAGTCAAATGTTTGCAGCTCTTTTTTGTGATTTGTGAAACACATCTACACTTTCGAGGGTGCTACTAATGTTCTGAGTTATCCAAACGTACGACTTCGTGGGGGTGTCCCTATTACTACCTTTCTGCTAAGCATCGATAAAATATTGCTTCTCTCTTATTTCCTACCTATAATTGCTTGTATATTATATCCCACTACCTATTCTAATGTTTTTAAACCAGTACAGAGCTCCTAATCTGGATGGGCGGCATTTTTTTCTTTGATCATATTGTCCACCTCTTCCAGTGAAATATATTCATGTATACATGTGAAGCATATGAAAAGGAACTGCTATGTGTTTCAAGAAGCTATTGCAATTGCTATGCATCATAGAGGAAATGGGTGTAAAATATCATATCAGTGCCTTTTTAGGACGACTTACTGGTTAATGTTTTGTTGTGAAGGTATATCTGATATAGGAAATGCTTCCCGTTCTACTTATATTACTGAAAAGCATTAAATTCCACTTTCAAAATTGAGATGATTAACTGTTTTCTTCAAGCCTTCCTTATCTCGTGACAGGTTTTTGGATATTCTATCGTTGCATTACTATGTTGATTTATCAAATCCTAAGTGTTTTATTTCCTTGTACTTTCTATTAATGTAGCCGGCCAAGGTGGAGACTGGGAAATAAAGAGCTATCACAATTGTGGAAATGGGCAGATCAGAATCCAGTATGTTTCATATACTCTTGATTGTGTGCCTTACGAACTCAAGCAGCTTTATGTTACATAAAAATATTAGGATTTGTAGTCATTGCCCAGTTATGAAATGTTTAAAATTATTAGATTTTGTTCACCAATTCTGATACATTCAATATCTCAACTATTTGCATTGAACTTTGACCCAGGCGTCTTTAAGAAATATACGACATGGAGTAATCAAATATTGATTTAATGTACTCCAGCATGCTAAATTTTATTTTGAGGTCTCTTGAATATAGTTATCACCCCTACTACGTTGATAACATTTAATCTCTAGCTGTCAAAGTGTTGACCACCTTGAATTGAGTTATAGTACTTGAATACAAGATGATCTTTTTTATTTATTTTTTTATTTTTTTGTATATAAAAAGAATTTATTGACAAGGGAAGTAATAAACGTGGAAGACAAGTTTCCCTCAATTACAAAAAAGAACCAGAATTTAAATATGAAATCAAACGAAAACGTCCTTGATCCACAAGCCACATTGAAAATCTGTACTAAGGGAGAATGAGAAGTTCTGGAATTCTTCTCTGTCCTAATACTCAAGGGATTGCAATTATAGAACACATCCACAAAATTTTTCCATCTCTGGTGCTGCCAAAGGCCGAAAACCCAAAATTTGACAAGAAATAGCTCAGTCAATAAAGCTGGGAACTGGGATGATAATAGATTCTCTCGACATATGAATTTCATGAAGGCCTGCTATTTGTTTTAATTTGTATTTTCATTGTCATCCGACCTTATTAGGTTACATCAGGTAGATTATAATAATTGAACTTCCAAGTTTACGTGTTCAGATGTGAATATTAAGAGGTGTATGTGGTAAAACAATAAGGGATAGAATATGAACTGGGTGCATTGGTGCATTGATTAAATTAGTGCCAAATAATGATGAAGTATGGAAGAACCAATTAAGATAATTTGGACATGTCAAAAGAAGGTCTAGAGATCCACCATTAGGACTTATGAGATGTGACTTAACTAGTTGTAAAAGTAAACTTAGAGGAATAGATCGATGTAAAATCTGATTAATGCTGTGAGTAAAAAGGTCTTCTTGTTTATGCGGTTTCACTCTGGAAATCATCCTTGAAGAGTATAGATTGGACAAACCATGCATTGGACTTATCAATAAAGCAAATCTGATGCAAGTATTGTGAAACAACTTAAACATGACCGAAATATTTGCTTATAAAAAATGGCAAAGTTTGATAAGTTATTGCACTTTGTTTTACTTAACTGAATAGTTTGCTTGGTGAATCAATAGTTAATGTATTCTGATCTGGGGAATTCAATATTTTCTCTTTTATATTATTTATTGATACATTTTTCTAAATCTCATCGTTTGTTGTGTTCCCTCTTTATGATTGGAATATTTGGATTTGTCTTTTCAGAATTCTTTAACAGATCCTCAACGTGTCCGCACTCCTTCCATCATGGAGTACTGGAAACCATTGGCCGAAGATGTGAGTTGATACAGCTTCTTGTCAGATTAGAACTAATGCCTAGTTTATTTATTTTATATTTTGGTATTTCATTTTATGTTTTTGTTGTGCAAAAAGTAGTATGCAAACAAATTATAACTTTCACTGAAGATTTCAGTTATCTGAAGAAGATTCTGTGTTTCTTAAACAGATGGATGAATCTGCGGGAATAGAAGCAGAATATCACCATAAAAATAGTCGAGTCAGTTACCTTTCCCTTTTCTTTCCACTCGATTCTTCCTGGCTTTGATCTTCAATGATGTGACTATTCTCTGCTTCCCCGTTATCTCTTCTAGTTTCAACTTCTTAAACAAAGGTTTACATTTAGTTCACATGCTAGCTTGTCACTGATTGTTATCTTGTTTTGTTTTGGTGACTGCTTTGGGATTACTAGCATCTTCAAACATAAGCATGCCAAATAATAGCTGTAGTGGATATTAATTGACTATATACCTAGCATACAAGATGATGTAATTTGGACCATCATTGGAGACCAAATATAAGTATGAGGGCAGCCTCTGAACTGATGTTGTACTAATTAGTATAAACAAGATATTTAGACAATAACTGATTAAAGAAAATAAATTATCTCTGTTCAGTACCCAGAGTTTTTAGGAACATGTTTCATTGCAAAAAATAATAACCTATGTAGAATTTCCCAGACTTTATAGAACACTATTTCTTTGCTAACAAATTATCATATAGTATTCTCTTGTAAACTTTACTGGAACATGATCTTTTTATGACAAATTAAACTATGTACAATGTCTCATAGACTTTTGATTCATGATAGGTGACAGTCTTTGAGTGCCTTCTCATACTTTTTACAAACTACAGCCCTCAGGCTTCAGCACTTGGCAGATAACCACAACTTGCCAAATAGCTTGTCACATATTATAAATTTTTTGGGAAAATATTTGAAAATTTAGAGGTAGAGCTTACAATTCCATATATCTGTTATGTATTGGTAAAGCAGTGAAATGCATTTGCACTTGGTCTTATAATCCAAATTTGTTAGAGATATCTGGTTGGGCTTCTTTTTGGTTTTGTTTTTGAATATTCTAGTCTTCCAAGAATTGTCGAATGCTTTTGTCCTAGGGAATTTGAAGGGGTGAGGATATGCTTTATTTGCTGTCACTTGGTCAATTTGGATTGAGATTTGAGTATAATGGTAGAATATTTCACAAGTACCTCGAGGGATGAACTGGTTTCCTGTCATCCTTCTTTGTCAAAGTTACTGGTTCTTTTTTGTGAGAGGGTGGGAACATTTTATAGTAACTTCTAGTTCTCTTACTTATTTATGTGCTTGAGGAATCCTCTACTCTTACTTCCTTTCTTCTTAAGAATATACTCTGTGTGTAGCATAGGATGTAATATGCATTGATTTCCCAGTCAGTCTTTTTATTTTCAATTTTAGCATGTTGTGTTACCCACAGGAAAACACCCATATTAATATTGTCTTATTCTCCCTGATATTTATTTAATGTTGATGCTATGTTTTAAAGTGTCTATTCTGTGTTGTTGAAGTCTCAATGTTCTGTAAAACTTCATCTCCTATTCTACCCAGGAAACATCTATATTTATTTACTTAGGAATGTAGCTGTCATTTGCTTTTATACTACTATGCGCTTCTCAAAGATTGCCTATAGCTTTCTTCTAGAAGAATTTCTTAATGCATCGATTGGTTTCATTTTCTGCCCTGTTATCGTTTAGGGAAATTTTTACACCCAATCCATACAGCTGGGGATGGAAGATTGATTTTGTTTCTTAATTTTCTTCAAGAGGCTTTATGTGCTAGGATTGGGAACCTCCTTTCTATCGCAAACTGTTAAAAACATTGTCAATCACTCAACTTGTAAATGTTGTACTTTTGATCATGGAACTTTTTTCCCCCCATATTAGTCACTAAGCTTTATTTCTTGTTTCAGTTTATATAGTCTATCTTCATTTACTAGATTAGCATAAATACCGATATGGTGAACCCTGGGGGGTAGCTCGGTGGTCAGGCCTTGGGTTTGCTCTCCAATGTTCACCAGTTCGAATCCTCTCAGGGTCACTGAGGTGAGTACTCGACTATAAACTTCTGGGGCCTGTGGGATTAGTCGAGGTGCTAGTAAACTGTCCCGGACATCCACGGTCATAAAAAAAAAAATACCGATATGGTGGTTGGAATGGGGGGCTGTCGGGGTTTTGGGGAAGAAGATTAATATTCTTCTTTATATTTCTCTCCTTTCATTTATTCTGTACTATGAAAAAATGCATTTCAAAAGCACTAGTATTCCAACAAGACTCGTTCTTGTCTAGCTGGATGGCAAGAATAATGCAATAGTAGATTTTTCATTCCAAGTCATATTTCTGATAGCCATGTTATTAGTTTATTAGATAAGCATTTGTTGAAACACCGAAACTGAAGCATTAATAATTAAAAATAAGAAAGAAAGGAAAACAGTTCAGTGACCAAAGTGAAACAATTCCATAAATTGGATAACATTTTTTTAACCAATTGTAATATTATAAACTACTACGTTTTCTATATTTAATATAATCCCTTGGTGGCAAGAAAGGAGTTATTGAGGTTCCTTCCTATTCCTAGAGAGGAAGGTTGACATTATTGAATTATAAACTACTGTGTACTTCACTGGTGAATTTTTATTTTTTATTTATTTTGGCTATTTTGAGAAGATGTTATATACACCAATGACCAATGGGATGCTTATTATTTTCCATTTTCCATTTTGTCATTTTTATCTAATTGTTTTTATGGTGCAGGTCTATTGTTGGAAAGGTTTACGCTTTTCAGCTCGGCAAGACTTGGAGGGATTTTCCAGAGTATGAATTCATTATATCTGTGACATAGATATATAAAACTGCATAAAACGATATTTTGGAACTGTCTACAACTCTCTGAATGATTTTATCTGCAGTTCACTGAACATGGTATTGAGGGCGTTGTGCCTTTGGAACTTTTGCCATCTGAAGTGCGGTCCAAATATCAAGCTAAACCAGCTGACAAGTCTAAGCGTGCCAAGAAGGAAGAGATGAAAACCTCTGTGCAGCAAGCTGAAGAAAATCAGGTATCTATAAGTACAATTGACTTCCAATTTTCTATTTTAATTTGGAATTATATTAGTGTAGGAATGCGAATTTCGTAATAGATGGAGACCTGCTACTTTTGTGGAATCAAGTGTAAATTCACTTGGTCTATATCATGTAAATGAAAAGGTGCCAGGGTCAGAGGCCAGGGATCATGGAAAAGAGTCAAGTCTCCACCTTTTAGTTAATACTAAGCCACTGTTTGGATTTGCTAAAAATCAGATTTTTACTAGATTTTTATTAAGGCCGATGAAGTGTATAGTTGAAAATTTGATAAAAGTGGGTCCCATGAAATTTGTAGTCAAAATTAATTGTTGATTTTAACTTAGATTTTTATTAACTTTTTTAAACGGCTAAACCAAACATGGGCTAAATATAATAGTTAAATATTCACAGATTCTAGTTAATTATAAAAGTATTCCTGGATATAGGATGTAATTTTTTCTCTGTTCTTTTAGGACGATTTGGTATTGGTTTTTCTTGACTGATAATTAGTGAAATCGGTTTAATATCTGCTAGACTACTACACATTATGTTTGGGCTTTTGCCACATATATGGAGTTAAATTTATGAACTCTTATTCTTTAGAATAAAGAAAAGACGAACGTTGTGATTCAACTAGTCACTGCAGATTATATGCCAAGCTTATTATTTTGAAAAAATATTTCATGTAAGTTAGGTTTTTAAGATTTAGAATGGGAAAATAGCAGTAGTGATTTTTATATATAATACTATGTTCTCTTAAATTTACTGTTAATTAAAAAGTTAATAGAATTTTTTCTTCAAAGAAAGATTACTTGAAAAAGACAATACTTCGCATATGGGGGAGGCAAGACTGTAAATGATGGAAGGCTCTAATTTTGTATTAAAGGGTATGGAGCTCATTTGATCTTTAGATTATGGTGCGAAAATGAACTTATCTGTTGTATCTTAGACGAGCCACATCATTCTCAATACTTTGTGTACTATCTTCGACAAGTCTCACTATTGTTGGGGTTAATTGTTGCCCAGAATTGGGTTTATATTGTGGTTGAGTTTAATGAAAGTGGTGAAGCCTTTCCACACTACGTTATTTTATCATGGTATTGTCAGTTTGTGATCTCAACCTTCCCCTTCCAATTTGTCCAAATTCCTTTTACCGTCCAAACCTTTTCATAGTTTAGAACATCTGAATTTTCAGATTGTTTTCAGTCACATCACTACAAGAATTTTCAGTTCGTTCCTCAATTAAGCCAATTCAGCCTTTTAAGCTTAATTTAGGAGAAAATTGTTGTGCTTTTCCTTGTTTTGGGGTTATCAATGTTCCTTGTGTTCTATTTGATGCTTCCAGTTTTTCCTAACTATTCTTTGATTCTGTTTTTTGGTCCAGGTTGCAACACCTGCAAGTGAGATGGATGTTGAAGGAAGCAGAACTGATCTTGAAGCCTCGATAGCCCCAATAGATGCAGATGCCACAATGGCTTCTGGCAGTATTTCTCAGAGCGGAACTCCAACCCCTGATGAACATCAGAAACAGAGTCCTGACACAGACATCGGGCAGGAATCAGGCCAAATTGAAGCTGAAGCTGAAATAGAGGCAGAAGCCATGCCCGGAGTAATAGAAGGTGAGACAGATGCAGAGGTTGATCTAGATGCAGTAGTCTGATAAAGTACAAGTATGTTTCATTTTACTCGAATGGTGGGAGAAAACTACTTGTGCTCGAATTATTTTGAAGTTCAGGGTCTGTCTAAAGGCTAAAAGTGGACATTAATATGTTGCAAAAACATCAATTTCTTAGATGATCCCTGGCTCGATCAAGGTAGTGTTGGACTAGCTGAGTTGGATATGAAAGTGGTCGGCATGCCTTGTTTGCACGAATATACTTGCATTAATGATTATGGAATTTAGTTTCTAATATGGATGATATCTTTTGATATTGGATAATTCTTTTTTCCCGAATACAAAAGATTTAGGCCTCGTTTGGTAGTCATTTTATTTTTCAAAATGCATTTTTCTTTCTTCTTTTCAACCACACATTCTTCATTAAAATAATATTACACAAATAAAAAACTTTTCCTTATTTTTTAACCACACATTTTCCATCAATTTATTATTTCAAAATGCATTTTTACATAAAAATAGCTCTCAAACACTCTTTTAGTGATTCATGCAAGCATAAAAAGTATTCTTTCTTCACCTTGCATAATTTGACATGTTTTGGTATGGACAAATATTTGATATATAACATAACGTGATGCATATTGTAATAGGTAAAATTTTGGCATAACGTGATGCATATTGTAATGGATAACATTTTAGCAATACGACTCTTAATACGTTTATGAATTGTTATGTTTTATTATGCATACAATTTTGTTTTTATATGTATCAATTGCAATAATGACTTCTCTAGATGGGGAACGCATTAGAAATTTAACCTAAACTCGTAGGTTTTTGACCGATCTTACGTTCATCCCAAGTCGAAGGTCTTTAACTAGAATGCTCGTTGCATAGATACATAAATGGAGGCATTGTGTCTTTAACGACGGTCTTGAATCATAGTAGTCATAATAGATGCTTAAATGGAGCCGGAGGCACATATGTGTGTACCAAAAGGAGAATCTTGAACAAAGAGAGTGCTCCATGCCATTTGACTCGAGAATTATAGCCCAAGTTGGAAATGAATTTATGAATTTGGTTGGACAAGTAAAATTTGTTATATAACCATGATTGAAGGATTCAATTATATGTTGTTCAAAAACATATGTGATTACATATGGAGCCCTCCAAGAATCATTATTGATCAAAGTAGGCCACTATGTTGTTCCTACTTAATTGTGAAACAACTTAAACATGACCGAAATATTTGCTTATAAAAAATGGCAAAGTTTGATAAGTTATTGCACTTTGTTTTACTTAACTGAATAGTTTGCTTGGTGAATCAATAGTTAATGTATTCTGATCTGGGGAATTCAATATTTTCTCTTTTATATTATTTATTGATACATTTTTCTAAATCTCATCGTTTGTTGTGTTCCCTCTTTATGATTGGAATATTTGGATTTGTCTTTTCAGAATTCTTTAACAGATCCTCAACGTGTCCGCACTCCTTCCATCATGGAGTACTGGAAACCATTGGCCGAAGATGTGAGTTGATACAGCTTCTTGTCAGATTAGAACTAATGCCTAGTTTATTTATTTTATATTTTGGTATTTCATTTTATGTTTTTGTTGTGCAAAAAGTAGTATGCAAACAAATTATAACTTTCACTGAAGATTTCAGTTATCTGAAGAAGATTCTGTGTTTCTTAAACAGATGGATGAATCTGCGGGAATAGAAGCAGAATATCACCATAAAAATAGTCGAGTCAGTTACCTTTCCCTTTTCTTTCCACTCGATTCTTCCTGGCTTTGATCTTCAATGATGTGACTATTCTCTGCTTCCCCGTTATCTCTTCTAGTTTCAACTTCTTAAACAAAGGTTTACATTTAGTTCACATGCTAGCTTGTCACTGATTGTTATCTTGTTTTGTTTTGGTGACTGCTTTGGGATTACTAGCATCTTCAAACATAAGCATGCCAAATAATAGCTGTAGTGGATATTAATTGACTATATACCTAGCATACAAGATGATGTAATTTGGACCATCATTGGAGACCAAATATAAGTATGAGGGCAGCCTCTGAACTGATGTTGTACTAATTAGTATAAACAAGATATTTAGACAATAACTGATTAAAGAAAATAAATTATCTCTGTTCAGTACCCAGAGTTTTTAGGAACATGTTTCATTGCAAAAAATAATAACCTATGTAGAATTTCCCAGACTTTATAGAACACTATTTCTTTGCTAACAAATTATCATATAGTATTCTCTTGTAAACTTTACTGGAACATGATCTTTTTATGACAAATTAAACTATGTACAATGTCTCATAGACTTTTGATTCATGATAGGTGACAGTCTTTGAGTGCCTTCTCATACTTTTTACAAACTACAGCCCTCAGGCTTCAGCACTTGGCAGATAACCACAACTTGCCAAATAGCTTGTCACATATTATAAATTTTTTGGGAAAATATTTGAAAATTTAGAGGTAGAGCTTACAATTCCATATATCTGTTATGTATTGGTAAAGCAGTGAAATGCATTTGCACTTGGTCTTATAATCCAAATTTGTTAGAGATATCTGGTTGGGCTTCTTTTTGGTTTTGTTTTTGAATATTCTAGTCTTCCAAGAATTGTCGAATGCTTTTGTCCTAGGGAATTTGAAGGGGTGAGGATATGCTTTATTTGCTGTCACTTGGTCAATTTGGATTGAGATTTGAGTATAATGGTAGAATATTTCACAAGTACCTCGAGGGATGAACTGGTTTCCTGTCATCCTTCTTTGTCAAAGTTACTGGTTCTTTTTTGTGAGAGGGTGGGAACATTTTATAGTAACTTCTAGTTCTCTTACTTATTTATGTGCTTGAGGAATCCTCTACTCTTACTTCCTTTCTTCTTAAGAATATACTCTGTGTGTAGCATAGGATGTAATATGCATTGATTTCCCAGTCAGTCTTTTTATTTTCAATTTTAGCATGTTGTGTTACCCACAGGAAAACACCCATATTAATATTGTCTTATTCTCCCTGATATTTATTTAATGTTGATGCTATGTTTTAAAGTGTCTATTCTGTGTTGTTGAAGTCTCAATGTTCTGTAAAACTTCATCTCCTATTCTACCCAGGAAACATCTATATTTATTTACTTAGGAATGTAGCTGTCATTTGCTTTTATACTACTATGCGCTTCTCAAAGATTGCCTATAGCTTTCTTCTAGAAGAATTTCTTAATGCATCGATTGGTTTCATTTTCTGCCCTGTTATCGTTTAGGGAAATTTTTACACCCAATCCATACAGCTGGGGATGGAAGATTGATTTTGTTTCTTAATTTTCTTCAAGAGGCTTTATGTGCTAGGATTGGGAACCTCCTTTCTATCGCAAACTGTTAAAAACATTGTCAATCACTCAACTTGTAAATGTTGTACTTTTGATCATGGAACTTTTTTCCCCCCATATTAGTCACTAAGCTTTATTTCTTGTTTCAGTTTATATAGTCTATCTTCATTTACTAGATTAGCATAAATACCGATATGGTGAACCCTGGGGGGTAGCTCGGTGGTCAGGCCTTGGGTTTGCTCTCCAATGTTCACCAGTTCGAATCCTCTCAGGGTCACTGAGGTGAGTACTCGACTATAAACTTCTGGGGCCTGTGGGATTAGTCGAGGTGCTAGTAAACTGTCCCGGACATCCACGGTCATAAAAAAAAAATACCGATATGGTGGTTGGAATGGGGGGCTGTCGGGGTTTTGGGGAAGAAGATTAATATTCTTCTTTATATTTCTCTTCTTTCATTTATTCTGTACTATGAAAAAATGCATTTCAAAAGCACTAGTATTCCAACAAGACTCGTTCTTGTCTAGCTGGATGGCAAGAATAATGCAATAGTAGATTTTTCATTCCAAGTCATATTTCTGATAGCCATGTTATTAGTTTATTAGATAAGCATTTGTTGAAACACCGAAACTGAAGCATTAATAATTAAAAATAAGAAAGAAAGGAAAACAGTTCAGTGACCAAAGTGAAACAATTCCATAAATTGGATAACATTTTTTTAACCAATTGTAATATTATAAACTACTACGTTTTCTATATTTAATATAATCCCTTGGTGGCAAGAAAGGAGTTATTGAGGTTCCTTTCTATTCCTAGAGAGGAAGGTTGACATTATTGAATTATAAACTACTGTGTACTTCACTGGTGAATTTTTATTTTTTATTTATTTTGGCTATTTTGAGAAGATGTTATATACACCAATGACCAATGGGATGCTTATTATTTTCCATTTTCCATTTTGTCATTTTTATCTAATTGTTTTTATGGTGCAGGTCTATTGTTGGAAAGGTTTACGCTTTTCAGCTCGGCAAGACTTGGAGGGATTTTCCAGAGTATGAATTCATTATATCTGTGACATAGATATATAAAACTGCATAAAACGATATTTTGGAACTGTCTACAACTCTCTGAATGATTTTATCTGCAGTTCACTGAACATGGTATTGAGGGCGTTGTGCCTTTGGAACTTTTGCCATCTGAAGTGCGGTCCAAATATCAAGCTAAACCAGCTGACAAGTCTAAGCGTGCCAAGAAGGAAGAGATGAAAACCTCTGTGCAGCAAGCTGAAGAAAATCAGGTATCTATAAGTACAATTGACTTCCAATTTTCTATTTTAATTTGGAATTATATTAGTGTAGGAATGCGAATTTCGTAATAGATGGAGACCTGCTACTTTTGTGGAATCAAGTGTAAATTCACTTGGTCTATATCATGTAAATGAAAAGGTGCCAGGGTCAGAGGCCAGGGATCATGGAAAAGAGTCAAGTCTCCACCTTTTAGTTAATACTAAGCCACTGTTTGGATTTGCTAAAAATCAGATTTTTACTAGATTTTTATAAAGGCCGATGAAGTGTATAGTTGAAAATTTGATAAAAGTGGGTCCCATGAAATTTGTAGTCAAAATTAATTGTTGATTTTAACTTAGATTTTTATTAACTTTTTTAAACGGCTAAACCAAACATGGGCTAAATATAATAGTTAAATATTCACAGATTCTAGTTAATTATAAAAGTATTCCTGGATATAGGATGTAATTTTTTCTTTCTGTTCTTTTAGGACGATTTGGTATTGGTTTTTCTTGACTGATAATTAGTGAAATCGGTTTAATATCTGCTAGACTACTACACATTATGTTTGGGCTTTTGCCACATATATGGAGTTAAATTTATGAACTCTTATTCTTTAGAATGAAGAAAAGACGAACGTTGTGATTCAACTAGTCACCGCAGATTATATGCCAAGCTTATTATTTTGAAAAAATATTTCATGTAAGTTAGGTTTTTAAGATTTAGAATGGGAAAATAGCAGTAGTGATTTTTATATATAATACTATGTTCTCTTAAATTTACTGTTAATTAAAAAGTTAATAGAATTTTTTCTTCAAAGAAAGATTACTTGAAAAAGACAATACTTCGCATATGGGGGAGGCAAGACTGTAAATGATGGAAGGCTCTAATTTTGTATTAAAGGGTATGGAGCTCATTTGATCTTTAGATTATGGTGCGAAAATGAACTTATCTGTTGTATCTTAGACGAGCCACATCATTCTCAATACTTTGTGTACTATCTTCGACAAGTCTCACTATTGTTGGGGTTAATTGTTGCCCAGAATTGGGTTTATATTGTGGTTGAGTTTAATGAAAGTGGTGAAGCCTTTCCACACTACGTTATTTTATCATGGTATTGTCAGTTTGTGATCTCAACCTTCCCCTTCCAATTTGTCCAAATTCCTTTTACCGTCCAAACCTTTTCATAGTTTAGAACATCTGAATTTTCAGATTGTTTTCAGTCACATCACTACAAGAATTTTCAGTTCGTTCCTCAATTAAGCCAATTCAGCCTTTTAAGCTTAATTTAGGAGAAAATTGTTGTGCTTTTCCTTGTTTTGGGGTTATCAATGTTCCTTGTGTTCTATTTGATGCTTCCAGTTTTTCCTAACTATTCTTTGATTCTGTTTTTTGGTCCAGGTTGCAACACCTGCAAGTGAGATGGATGTTGAAGGAAGCAGAACTGATCTTGAAGCCTCGATAGCCCCAATAGATGCAGATGCCACAATGGCTTCTGGCAGTATTTCTCAGAGCGGAACTCCAACCCCTGATGAACATCAGAAACAGAGTCCTGACACAGACATCGGGCAGGAATCAGGCCAAATTGAAGCTGAAGCTGAAATAGAGGCAGAAGCCATGCCCGGAGTAATAGAAGGTGAGACAGATGCAGAGGTTGATCTAGATGCAGTAGTCTGATAAAGTACAAGTATGTTTCATTTTACTCGAATGGTGGGAGAAAACTACTTGTGCTCGAATTATTTTGAAGTTCAGGGTCTGTCTAAAGGCTAAAAGTGGACATTAATATGTTGCAAAAACATCAATTTCTTAGATGATCCCTGGCTCGATCAAGGTAGTGTTGGACTAGCTGAGTTGGATATGAAAGTGGTCGGCATGCCTTGTTTGCACGAATATACTTGCATTAATGATTATGGAATTTAGTTTCTAATATGGATGATATCTTTTGATATTGGATAATTCTTTTTTCCCGAATACAAAAGATTTAGGCCTCGTTTGGTAGTCATTTTATTTTTCAAAATGCATTTTTCTTTCTTCTTTTCAACCACACATTCTTCATTAAAATAATATTACACAAATAAAAAACTTTTCCTTATTTTTTAACCACACATTTTCCATCAATTTATTATTTCAAAATGCATTTTTACATAAAAATAGCTCTCAAACACTCTTTTAGTGATTCATGCAAGCATAAAAAGTATTCTTTCTTCACCTTGCATAATTTGACATGTTTTGGTATGGACAAATATTTGATATATAACATAACGTGATGCATATTGTAATAGATAAAATTTTGGCATAACGTGATGCATATTGTAATGGATAACATTTTAGCAATACGACTCTTAATACGTTTATGAATTGTTATGTTTTATTATGCATACAATTTTGTTTTTATATGTATCAATTGCAATAATGACTTCTCTAGATGGGGAACGCATTAGAAATTTAACCTAAACTCGTAGGTTTTTGACCGATCTTACGTTCATCCCAAGTCGAAGGTCTTTAACTAGAATGCTCGTTGCATAGATACATAAATGGAGGCATTGTGTCTTTAACGACGGTCTTGAATCATAGTAGTCATAATAGATGCTTAAATGGAGCCGGAGGCACATATGTGTGTACCAAAAGGAGAATCTTGAACAAAGAGAGTGCTCCATGCCATTTGACTCGAGAATTATAGCCCAAGTTGGAAATGAATTTATGAATTTGGTTGGACAAGTAAAATTTGTTATATAACCATGATTGAAGGATTCAATTATATGTTGTTCAAAAACATATGTGATTACATATGGAGCCCTCCAAGAATCATTATTGATCAAAGTAGGCCACTATGTTGTTCCTACTTAACAAGTCAGGCCCACCCCTGGCCGGGCTCAACTATGGTCCTCCCAATTTATGCCACTTGGGATGGTCCAATTTGTCGAAATTCACACACCACATCCAATTGAAGAATATTTATCATTATTGTCGTCTTCTGAGTGTGTTCTTCTCTACGCATAAGTTCCTCATTTTGTAATGCAGAGCATGTGAGGAAATTAATGTACAACTTTTGTTACGCATATCTTCACAGGATAAATGATATACCATTGAAAAGATAATTTTGAGTTCGAAGCAAAACTGAGTACAAATTTCGAGTTGGGATCAATGATTATGCATGTTTGAAGTAATGTAATCGAGCAAACTTGGGATTTGTCGTACTTGATTTTTGCATAGCAAACTTTAGATTTATACATATTTTCTTAGAGTAATTGACTTTTGAATAGAAAAATTGTGATTTTATCAACAAATTTGAGAATTTCTAGTAAGTTTGAGATTTGACTTGCTAACTTGTCACGACAAATTTGGGATGTCACTCGGAACTCAAGATTCTTGTTGAGTTGTGAATTTCGAATTTGATTCAACTTGTCATATCTGAATTTTTCTGGAAAGATTATCAATTAATGTCTTGACCAAATTATGCTTGAGAAATCACTCGAATGGATTGCAAGTGACCGTTTGATGGTGCAAATAGACATAATGAGATCACATGATTGGGATGATTTGTGCAAAGAAATGTCCACCTAAAGGTTTAACTGTCAAAATTAAAAGAATATTGACGTTTACGAAATGACGATGAACGATATAGATGTTTTGCACTAATTACTCTGGATATTCAATAAGATACTGATTTAGACAACACTAAAGCATATAAAATGATGTTGACATTTCTATTCATTTTATTACTAACATGAACTAAATGAATTAGCCGACATTTGAATCCTTTATTCTTATTTTTTTAATGCTTGTCCCAATCACAATGGACTCATTTGACGAGTTCATCGTGTAAGGGGAAAAACACAAATTTGTCATGTACAATTAAAATGGTATTTGTCGTGTTGATTGCTATCTTGTACCACTGAGAATGATACGTGAATATAAACGTTTTCTCGTTAGTATCGATTTATTGTATTTTAAATTATTCGGATAATTTCTTTAATAGCAAAAGTTAAGTTAGCCTTGAAAATTTTAAATTACTTCTAGTATAATTATAATTTTTATTTATTTATTCAAAAAGTGGATTCGCGTGAAAATGAACATGGTGACAAGTCCATATCAATGTCAACACCGATGGCTTCTACTTCTGTTCAAAGTGTGAATATGAAACGCATGATCATGCACGTTGGCTTGTCGGTCAAGGGGTAGTGATGTTATATGCGTTGTTTTATATTTTTTTATAAATAATTTATTTTTGATTAAATTTTGCAGATATAGTATTAAACGAATGAATTTAATAAGGATAATACTGGAATGTAATGTGGATGGATATAGTATTTTTTTTTTAATTTTTAAATTTTAATAGAGAGATTTAGAGTGTGACAGATATATAAAAATTGCAAATGAAAATATGGACTCCCAATTTCAACTTATATTTTTCTTTTATTCATCTTTTAGAACACGTTAGAAGATTGAGATGTTGATCAAAATTCAGATGATCGGTCATCATCTTTGGATTAAAGATGAGAAAAAAACGACAAAGTAGAAAGAAAAAAAGTTAGCAATTGTAAATTTATAGACATAATTATAGTTTATATTATATATATATATATAGCCCATTTCCTTATATATATATATATATTAACAAGAAGTTTTTCCTTATATATATATATATATTAACAAGAAGTTTTTCTAAAGGAAAAAATTCACATGAAAAATATTTTGTTAAAGGAAAAAAAAATAGATGGGCTGAGGTTGGCCTGGGCCCTGGATTTACTTGTTGGAAGCATTGCAGGTACGAGTTTTCTAGATAGCAATTTGGCTTAGTGGTAGATTGAGACCTGTATACGAATTTTATATAAAAATAGCCAAGTGTTGATGTAACACTTGGGAATTTTTGTTGGCCCTTCACATAATTTCGATTAGGACAGTTCACTATGAGCCTGTTTGGGAGTGATTTTGAGAATTGATTTTTTAACCGTTAGGAGAAAAATGGGGTCCACCTGTAAGAGTAGAAGTCGAATATAATGACTGGATTAATGAAATAACGGTCAGAAAATTAAATTTTTGGGGCAAAAAATCGCTCCCAAACAAGCTGTATATATTGCCCAATTTCAATGCATTTTCATACTACTGCAATATCGTAAGTCGTGATTTTTTACTTTCGTTCTCACATGTATCTCGTGCTAGCATGAAAACGGCCAAAAAATGCATTTTTATCTTCAAACAAACAGGGTTTGACACTAAATTGTAGAGCTGTAATTTCATCTTCATTAAAAAATTTATAAATTTTTATAATCAATCAAACTTAATTTTCAACCATACATTTCAATGGATCCACAATACTATCTATTTTCCACTACTCTTTTATTTATAGATTAAATCGTTGATAAATTCTTCCCAAAAATTTAACTAAGCCCATGTTTAATTTGGATAAAAATTTAGATTTTTAGTAGTAAAAGTTGATGAAATATATATTTAAAAAGTTGACAAAAGTTGTAAGTCATATAAAATACGTAGTTGAAAATGAGTTTGAAATAAGTTTTGAGTCTAAATCTCGGAGACAATCAATTTATAATAGTAGATTTTGTTTTAATCAAAATAATGAATGTCCAAAATAAGTTCTAAATATTTCGAAATTTTGGGAAGTAAACAATGTTTGGCCATACAGTGTTTTGTCACTTGAGATTGAATAAAAGATTAATTCACAATAATTAGTGGGATGTTTGATTGATTAGGGTTTGAAAATCAGTCAAACTAGTCACTTTCTAGCGTGTCAGAAAAATCAAATTACTGTAAATGGGCATTTTGGTGGGTGATAGATATTAATTCGTAGTGGACACGTGAGTTGAATACATTTTCTTTTGCCACAAAAATAAGTGGATTTTGCATAGACGTCCCTATATTATCAATTAAAAAAATTGTCACATTTTCAAATAGTAATGTTATTTATAATCGCTCACTGCAGTAGTCATTCTATGTGGCGTCTTACATAGTTGTTTGTGATTTGATGTATTAACGTGACAGTTTTTTCTTACCTCATATATCAAATTACTAATCGCTATATGTATGTCACATAGAACGACTGCAATAGTGAGTGATTGCAAAGAGAAATATTTATTTTTAAAAGGTGTTCAAAAATATCTTTTTTGTGCAAAATGTCCAAATTACAGTTGTAGATACCTCATTGGGTACACTTATTGCTCATTAATACTAATTAATATCATGACATTGCGTGTGTTTGTCCTACATTTTTGCCCGACTAAAAATGGGAAAATTGAATGTTAGTCTGACACCATGGGTCTTTCAGTGCAGTCCCATTTACTGCAGTTTCTACCCCATTTTCCCACATTTACCCTTTGAATTTTGATAGACTGCTAGGATCATTCCTACTTTTGGTCCAATTGAATAAGGGCAAAATGGAAAATGTGTGGTAATTTATATACATGTGAAATGAGGGCAACCACAGTTTGACACGAATGCATTAGTAGGATAAAAATGGGCATCAAACAGGGGCGATGTTTGACTTATGTAAGAAAAATCTATGAATAAATCTAATATATAATAGATAACAGAATTGTTAACCAAAAAATAAATAATAAAAATTATTTTGTAATCTTTCCATTAGGTGCTAATCGTAAATACTGACAGTTCAACTGTCGACCTAGAATATGAAGACCAATAGAAATAAAATTCGAACTCTATACTTAGTAAATGCCTGAAAAGATATTTGAACTGTCAGTCTCACTGGTTTGCTACTATTCAGTATGATTTATTCGTATGTACCACTTACATGATATTAAAGTTTAGGGATGACAAAAAAATTCGTCAAACCCAACACGAGGCAGGAATTACCTGCTTAATCGAATATTCGGGTCGAGTATGGGTACCAGAGGTCTCCTCCCATTTAATTTTTTTTTTTAAATTCAATACTTTAAATGGAAAATTTCATGAAA